AGACAGAAAGAGAGAAATCACCCCCCAGGAGGGATGGTCACACCGCAATCTCTTCTCCTCCATTCTCCTCTCCTCTTGGGATCTTGGGCATGCACGCCCGCACGCACGCACGCACATGTGTCCGGCATGAGATTAAGCCATCTGGTCCGGGACCCGAACCGTGGTCAACTACATGGAAGTCCAGTGACGTAGCCATTACACCATCTGCTGGTCCCCCTATTGGTCATTCTTTTACTTTTCTTAATGATTTGTTTTGTTTTTACATTTTTGCCTCAGGGCACATGCACTTGCCAAGGGGGCGGGGCAGAGTGAGAAACTACTCCCTAGGGGGGATGGCCACACCACAATCTCTTCCCCTCCATCTCCTCTCTTGATTCTGAACATGCACGCACAGGCGCCTGTTGTGTTTTTCAGCTGTCAGGGCTGGGACTTAAACCACACAGTTGGCCATCTATTTTAGGTTTTTGCCATAGGGCGCATGTGCTCACCAAAGAGACAGAGAGGGAAAGTGAGAAATCCCCAAAAGGGGGATTGGCCATGATATAGTCCCTTCTCTTCCATTCTCCTCTGGGATTTTGGGCATGTCCTCACACGCACCTGGTGTGATTTTCAAGCCACCAAGTCAGGGACTCAGATTGTGGTTGGCCATGTGGGAGTTCAGTGCCTTAACCACCATGCCACCTCTGCTCCCCCACTATATATTGTTTAGTTTTGCGTGTTTGTGAGCTTTATGTAAATGGATTAGTCTTTATTTTTTCTAAGATTTGCTTCTCATCCAGCATTTTCATTGCTGTAAAGTTTCCATTGCATGGGGGACCAGCAGGTGGTGTGGTGGTTAAGGTGCTGGACACTCTTGCATGGCTGTTCACAGTTCAAGTCCCAGACCTGGTGGTTTGCTTTCTCGCTTTCCCTCTTTCTCTGTGTCTCTCTCTAGTCAAGTTAAAATGAATAAATGAATGAATAAAATAAGTAACTTTTAAAAAGTTTCCATTGCACGAATCTACCAGAACCATTTATTAAAGAATTATTTATTTAATTTGACGTATTATTATTTAATTTGCTATAGGGCACATGTGCTCACCAGAGAGAGGCACACACAGAGAGAGAAAGTAAGAAAGCAAACTGACAGCTTTGAGATTCAGTCAGCCATGTGGTCCAGCACCTCAACCATCATGCCACCTCCTGGTTCCTCTACCAGAACCTCTTATTGAAGTCTACTTTTGATGGATATAAAGGCTGTTTCTAGATTTTCTCTAGTTATCATGTTACTATGAACATTTTAGTACAATTTTCTCAACGCTTGTGAGTTTTCCTGAGGTTTATCTAGAGAAAGATTTGGCTCCATCTCGGGGTATGCATAGTCGATTGTATCAATCACTCCGATTCATAACACCCACAGTTGTATTTCAGTTCTTAGACATCTTCACCAGCACTGGGAAAGTTATGATGCATTTTTTTAAAGAATTATTTTTATTTAACTTTATTTGTTTTTAAAATTGACCAGAGAGGGACAGAGTGAGAGAGAGAGAGAGAGAAAGTGAGAAAGCAAGACACCAGATCCAGGACTCGAACCACAGTCAACCATGTAGGAGTCCCATGCCCTTAACCACCACTCCACCTGCCAGCCCCCATGATGTATTTTTGCATAGAAAAACACGTCATGACTTTCCCAGTGACCTAATATTTACCAATTAGTTGATTCTTATGTAATTAATTATTTTCATTTATTTTTCATGCGTGAAAGAGATACAGAGAGAGAGAAAAACAGCTCCTCTAGCAGGGCCCCAGGCCCTGACCCACCCGCAGTCCCCAGCAGCCCCAGTCCAGGTGCTCCACACTTGTTATTCAGGGAAGTCTCTGGAGAAGCCGGGAACTTTGCCAGCGGGTTAGCTTTGAAGAGGTGCCTACTCAACCTCTAGACCTCTGTCTGAACCCTCATTTTTGCTTATCTTCAAAGCAGTATCTCATTGTGGTTTAAAACATAGCTTACTTTGCTTTTCTGGGCTTTCTAATGATGTTGCGCCTCTTGCTATATGTTTATTGATCATTTCCTTTCCTCTCTTGTGAAATGCCTATTCAAGTCAGTTACCTATATTTTTTACCTTTTTTCCCTGTTTTGTAGGAGTTTTATTTATTTTTTTGTTTGTTTTATTTTTCGTATTTCCTAGGGCACATGTGTTTTCTGGAGACAGAGAGAGAGGGAAAGTGAGAAATCACCCCCTGGAGGAGGTAGGTGTTCTTTATAGGTTCTGGACATTAATCTTTTGTCAAATTTTACAAATCCTTTGTTTTTCTTTTTGTTTGTTTGTTTTTGGTTTTGTTTTGAGAGATTTTCACTATAGGGCGCGTGCGCTCGCCAGACAGAGAGAGACATAGAGACAGAAAGCGAGAAACCCCCCCCCACAGGGGATGGTCACGCCGCAATCCCTTCTCCTCCATTCTCCTCTTGGGATCTTGGGCACGCACGCACATGCACCCGGCGTGAGTTTTAAGCCACCGGGTCCGGGACGTGAACCATGGTCGACTACGTGGGAGTCCAGCGACATAGCCATTACGCTAACTGCTGGTTCCCCAAATCCTTTGTTAAGCAGACTGTTTTATATCTCTAGCCAAACTGTTGGGGAGAGTCTGATAAAGTAGGTATAGCGACTACAGAATAACCAACTAGACCAGTTAAGGATCCTCGAGGATGACAACGTCCTGCTCCTCTGTCAAAGTGCGGGGGCACACTTACAGAGCATGTCCTACACATGCCTCCTGAAAGAAGTGAAGATTGTTGGTTTTGTTCTGCTTCATTTTTAAGAGTATCAATTTCAGAAAGGTAGAAGAAGAATATTGAGTTGTCAGTTGGTACATCCAAGTGAGAGCGTGGATGCGTTACGAACCCGTGGCCCTCTCATCTGTAGCTAGCTCAGGGGAAGTTGTTTCACCTGCCCAGGTGTTGCCTTGCGCAGGCGCTGCTTCTCTCCAGCCACACTCCAGAGCTGGCATCCAGCCAAGTGCGCAGTTCCTTTACAGACCTCCCTGGAGGGCCACCGAACTGCGAGGATCCACCATGGTACTGGGATGAGAGTCCGAGAGGCGGGGTGCGCAGTGCGCCTGGGGTATTCCAGCTCTGGAGCTGGCCACCAGCCTCCTGCCCTGTCTCCCGCACGCTTCAGGTGTCTTGGCAAGGAGGAAGTGAGGATGCCCTAAAGGCTGTTGGTGCCCAGGGGTGGGGTGGGCTGGAGCCCGGGGAGGCCTCAGCGAAGTGGCCTTTGCTCTCTGCTCCGCGTAGGGCGGGACCTGCAGGACTCTGGCACCTGTACCTGCAGTGTTGCGGTAAGAGAGGCGCAGGCATAACACGCGCGCTTGGCACCTCTGCCGCAGCAGCCTGTGGAGTCCGCAGACCCACCCCTCCAGGCCTCGGGAGCGCTCCCTCCTCGAGGTTGGGTCACCCCAGCGGAAACTGCGAGTGGACCCGGGGTCCAAGTCCACTACTTGCCGGGCAAGGGCTGGCCCCGAACCCCAGAGGGCCAGGCGCGTCACAGCCGCCTGCTTCTGATTGGCGGGCCGCAGCGGTCACCCG